GCCCAAATATTTATTTATACTTTAGATCCTGTAAGGGACTAAAACATAGTAGGTTAATGGTTAACCCTTTATTACCATGTAAAATTTTGTCCGATTTTATTTATACCTGTTTTTCATGTAAATCTATGCCTAGTTGCTTTAAAATCAAGAGCTACTTTCATTTAAATGCACTTTAAAATGTTAATTTAGCCAAAGGAACTCAACTCTAACACAGATCTTGGCTTATATATTTTGAATTATCCTATAACATCCACTTCACTGCTGTTTCCTTTCCATATTTCATGAATGTCCCAAGTATAAGCTGAGAGCGCCAAAGGCGTTCAGGAGCCTGAGTGAGTATAAATCCCACTCTATCAACATTTCGAATCACAAGGTCTTGGCACGCTTAGGCAGGTACAGAAAATGTTTGATTGAGGCTCACTCTGATTGTAGGTTAGCCCCAGAGGCTGCTTTTGGTGCAATAAACATTAGGTCTGTTAGAAGGCTACCTTTCACAACCAGAACATAGCTGCCTGCTGAGCAGAACCGGAGGCTGGAAAAGCGGTGAACAAGGACATGTTCTGCCTGCAGCGACGACTTGTGAAAGGTGGCAGCTGAGAGCCCGATTCACCCCGAGAGACTCTACAAAATAGAAGAGTCAAGCAACTCAGCTGAATATTTGGACTAAGATACAACCGAGGTTTTTCTGAAAGCCAAGCCCAGGGGGAAAGCATAACCAGAGGGAAAAATGAGATCACATAGTCCAGTCAAGATGACTGAAAACTTGGGCTATGATCTTCCGGCCTGTCTCTGTATCAGAAAACACAGAATTTCACTAACAGCATTCCATGATGGGAGCCAGAAAGCCACCAGAGTGGGGAGGGAAAGGCAATTGGCAGCGGTGGGGGAGGTGGGGTGCATTTCATGCTAAATCAGAGAACACATGGCTCTGGAAAAAAGCAAAATAAAATTGGTTGTCAGTCAGCAATATATGCACCTTGTGGATGTGGGCTGACCACCAGTAACTAGAAGAAAGCTTTACTTGGAAACTGAGGCTTAGGAATGCCAACGAGTTAAGGTCATAAAGGGGAAACAGTCAATTTGACTTCATGCAAGATCAGGGTTGAGCTTAACCTGCGCTAAGACAGAATTTTTGAACAGCCTTTGAAACAGATAATAACATGTAAATTTTTAGTCTTCAGTCTCCTCTAAGAACTAGTCTTGACATTGGAGACATGGAGATAACGTTGGAAACGTGAGGTGGCTCTCTACTGCATGAAATGTTGCTTTAACCTGATCTTGTCATTGCTACGGAAAGATTAGCCTGGTCATTTACAGATATTTCAAACTTCTGTTTCTCTTCCTCCCTCATTTAAAGAAAAACAACTCATGAGTTTATTTAACTCAATTCACAGACTGTCTTTATCTTCCAAAGGAAGATCACAAACTCTTGCTTTATTCCTGTGTTTGAAGCCAGCTTATCCTAACCGGCAAAATTCGCGGCAACGTAGCCAAATCCTGGCGTCCTCTAAGAAGTCGTTCTGAAAACGCTCCTGCTGTCCTCAGATTCCTGCTTTAAAGCATTCGTAGGGACCCCGTTTCTTTTTTCTCCCTCTTCCCTGCCTCAGCCCCAGAGTATTTTAGCAGCTCCATTAAGGTGTTCAGATTCCCAAATAACAGACCACATGCTGTAGCTTTCCAGGTTGGAACTCTGCAGAGCAGAGGCAGGTTAACCGACATCTTTAGAGTCTGAGATGAAGATGTAACACACTGCACCACCAAGAAGAGAAGACAGATGACGATCCTTGTTAAGACAACTCCAGGTCACTTCAGCCACTGGAACAGCACTAGCATCAAAATGACTGATAAAACAACTTTATCCGTGGGCAACATCCAAACTCTTGAACCACAGGGACAGCCTGAGAACTGAATTGAA